AAAGATTAATATGCACCGGTATATTAGGAAAATAATGTTTGCATCAATTAATGCTGATAGAATCGCCTGAAGGACAAATAACAACGCACTAATGTTTATATTTAAAACGTAGAATATAGCGACATTTTGTTACACAATAAGTAAATAACTCTGCCTTAGTACTTAAGACCAAGGGCAATATCCTACATGTATATAGTTAATGTAACAAACATATTTGTAAAAAATACAAATAACTGTACTAATGTAACAAACATATTTGTAAAAGATACAAATAACTGTACTTTTCCACCAAACTTCTGAACCACAACATATTTCTATCATCAAGCGTTGATGAAATTTTTACTAGACTTGATCGTAAACATCATAATTATCGTCTGGTTATTTACTTTTTATCAACAGGTTGCAGCTTGGTTTTGATTCTTCTCCTGAATTGGAAATGTACAAGTGATCGAAGTGGTGAAACAACAACACCTGGTGAAATTAATGGAATATGCAATGTACACGAATCAAAATCAACAGGGAGATTTAATCATGGATTAATAGTAACTCCAGGTCATTCCAAAACAACCACCTTTCCAAATGTTCTACAGCCTAGAGATGAAAATATGGTTTGTTAGTATCTCTGAGGCATCTAGCCAATATGTTATAAAGCAAAGTACTTCTAGCAATCGAACCGTTAATTTATACAATGTGTAGATTATGGTAAAAGATAAAAACGAACATAGTTTATTTTCTGAGGATGACAAATTATGGGTATTATTGAAAAAGGGAATGTGTCAATATAGTCAAATAAATTTCCACATTTGATAAACTTTAGCTGAAAACGTCATCCTGTTAAGAAAAGGAAGTAAAAAGTAAGAAAATAGTGGTAAAGATGATTAAAGATTATGAAATAAATAGAAAAAAATCAAAACAGAGAATGTAATAAGTTGAAATAAAATCCCCCCCCCCCCCGTGAATAATTAATTTGTAATGAGATTACAAAAACTAACGTACATGTACATGTAATTAGATAAGCTTGCAGCTTGTATGTCGTAAACAGTGACTCTGCAGCTGTCTGCAATATCTTTTGCGTACGTAGATTCAAGAAATTGTAATGACCCTCGCCTTTGAAAACAGCTTCGTACTTCGTAAATACATGAACATACTTTTATTTAACGTAATTAGGTAAAGTTGTAGATTAAATGTTGACCATTCCTGATATGAAAGGAAAAATGCTTGTTTTGAAAGTTTATTTTGTCGCATTTTTCGCATGTCCTTAATTGCAGTCATCCCTTTCTTTAAATGGACGACATAAATATTGCTTGTGATATTACATACTGAGTAAGCGTTTAAATGTGTTAGAATTGTAGAGTAAGATAAAAAAAATCTTCTTAAGAGAAATTTAAAACGGTGGTTATCTTCGTGAACCACTTCATTTGAAGAAATGCCAAAATTTAATTTTTCTTTAATATTTTCATATAATTGAATTAACATCCTCTTATGTATCTTTTTTCAGTGTTTGCTGAAGAACCATCCAGTTCAAGCTTAATATTGATAAAACAGAATGGTAGTGATGCAAGCATTGAGGTTTTGGGTACAACTCGTCAGTCAATATTTGGCACACGGATTTCCAAAAATGTTTAAAAAAAAGGGTCGGTGTTCGATTGTCTGCATACCCTGTCAAATAATGACGTTTTATCTAACAATCAAGATAATTCGCTAAAATCTTTCAGAGAGCAAATATGTAAACTTCCAGGAATTAAAATTAGCAATTCCTCTTTACTTAGTTTCAACGTGAGTGGAGTAAAACAATTCGGATTTTCTGGAGAAGAAATCGTCAATAAAGGGATAGTTTCTATGAGCTTTGGTGTATTTGCAATTGGGAGCCTATGTAACCTTTTGACTATTTTGGTTATTATCTCAAAACCTCGTCTTAGGAAACCTTTTTACATAAGTATTCTATTTTTATCTTCGTCTGATCTCCTCGCACTTCTCGGTATTCTTTTGCAGGATTATGTCTTTGATGAAGATCTTTGTGAGGTTTTGAACCAAAAGGAATTTTTACATGTCTTCTTTTTTCACCAAGATGTTTTCTGGTCTGAATGTTGTGTTATTGGCATCAGTTCGTTTTGTTATGTTTGTCAAACCTATAAAAAGTCGCGTGTATTTAACAAATCGGCTAATTATTCGACTTTTCGTTTCAATTTCATTATTCAGTATAGGGTACGCAGTAGTGATGCTTTACGTGACTTGGTTCTTGCGTGTAAAATATGTTGGTTTATTACACTTACTGGATGATGTTGTATTTTTGCCCGGGTTCGTTATTCTAAATGTATTTTTGGTTCGACGATTAATGGTTGCAAATTCGTCCCTGGCTGCAGGTCATCTGGAAAAAAACGTATGACACTTGTTGTAATTGCAATATTAGTTTTGAATACAATAAGTTCCTTTACCAAAACTATGGGTGATTTAAACAGTATCATGTATCTGAAGAAGAAGGAATTGGTCATAATATCACCTATTGTACTGTCTTTTCAGTATTTTAATCACTCAGTTAACCCTTTTCTCTACTTTTTTGCGTCCTGTAGAGTAATAAATAGTCTATTCTCACGCATACACTATTGTAAATGCAGAAAGTGAAAGTATGCATTTTTGTATCATGCATTACCTTATTACACAATATTGTAAACTTAAGGTTTTATTATGGTTTTTGCTACATGTTTTTGTTTATGTAATGGAATGTGTTTAATTATATTTGGTATTGTTACTCATACTATGTGTTGACATATTTGGTTGCTTCTTCATTTATTTATTAACAAATGACTATTCAAATTTAAAATGTCTTATACGTGTATTTCAAATGTACTGTTCATCGAAAAAAATATATAAAATTGTGCAATAATATAATGGTTTAAAAAGCATAGTTTTGCCCTGGTTTTAAAAATATCAAGTTATCTTTTACTTATTTCGTAATCTCTGAATATATTGCTTTAGGAATGTACAGTAAATCAACCAATTCATATATAACATGGTACCTTAATATCTTCGATTGGCAAAATTCATTCTTTTTTTTAAATTGCTAAAAATTTACAAAAAGAACCCAACACAATTCAGAGGGATTGTTACAAACTTGTTAAATAAACATGTACTTTTCCCACGCTTGTTTAAATAAACGACTAATATGGGTGCAGTATGGTGGTATTAGTTGTTCATTTTAAATTTTAGAGATTTACTTGTATTAAGTTGTTTGTTTTTAATGAAGACAAACAATTCTTAATATTCTAATTTCCCGGACATCGTCTATACAAAGTGTCTTTGTATTTTTTTCTAATTCCTAGAAATTCAGCTTTAAAGCTTAAAAAATAGGTAAACGTCTCCCAGAGATTTGTGCGGTTTAAAATGCGTTCCGACCTTTGAGAGGAGGATGTTAAAGTCAGCACCCTTCATTATAGGCAGAATATGTTATTGTCTTTAGATTGTGGAAATCCCTGATTCAGTTTTCTAGACTTGTTTTGCTTGTAATTGATAGGGCACAGAAAAGCGGAACATTCCCTCGGAAAAGAGCACATCGATCTCGATATAAATTATAACTTGCACAACTTCCGTCATGCACTCACTCAGTCACCCACCCACACAGACACACACACATACACACCAGGGTGTCACTCTATTCTCTCCAACTTTGTTGCGAGGGGATAAAAAACAGTAATACGATGATATTCTATTTTTCTTCCAATTCCACCAATTTTATTTCATATTCTGTAATTTCAAGTATCTACGGCTGGAGTGTCAGCATTGACATTTGTATCACGTCTAAACATCTTATATTTAGCAAGGAATGACAGAACATCAATTATAAATTAACAAGCCAAGGAAGAGATTAAAAGACTTTGTTATAACTTTAAAAATTGGTTCCTATGTAAATCCATACTAAAAAAAGTCTAACATTCCCAATGTTTTACTGATCGGTCATAAAGAAATAGATGTTTGACCGCGGAGTGGGATATTTGGTCCTTTCGTTGAGATATTGGACCGCTTACGTCACACTGTGGGCGAGATTAGCTAAATATTATTTGCATTTGTTGATGTTCGACAGTAATGAGTTTAACCGCATTGCGGATAAAGAAAATTTACATCATGGAAGCAAGCACAAGATACACGTCTGTCAAAAACCATTAATAATAAAAGGTATAACAAAACATTCATTGACTTTGTTGTCGGGCAAAAAGCGTTTTGTCGACCCCTCGAACCAAACTGTTTGCCTTCAGCCTAACGGATTCAGGCAGGCAGTTTGGTTTTTGGGTCGGACAAAACGCATATTGACCTCGAACCCAATCAATAAATATTTATTATAAGACTGTCTTTTGGTAACATATTCCGCAAGTAATTGATAAAGGTGGTTTTATATGAAAACTGGAATCAATAATAAGAATTGGAAGGTGGTTTCAATGAAAATTATTATTATATGAGACTTCATCTGTATTTTGAAGGATACATGTATCTCGTATTATACAGTAAAACACACTTATAGTAAAGTGCCACGAACTGAAAATTTCGGTTCGTAATTGACTTTATTCGCTATATACTATGTGAAGAGTAGATTTCAGAACTCGGGGAAATTCAGGGAAATGAAAATCACTTTTCTATAAGCGCGAATCCATTATAAATGTGTTCGCTATAACCGTGTTTTACTGTATTACGTCATGCCATATAATAGGATTTGCACATAAAATCTACTTAAGATATATTCAAGAATTTTATCTGATTAAATGCAAATGTAAAAATATGATAAGACATACTATACGAGTGCATTTGTACACATCTTGAAATAGTATAATATAATTACATATCATATTGTATACTGTAGGTTTGAAAAACAATAATTGGTTCTTCCTCAGAGTAGATTCAATATCTAGGGTCTACATGTATGAGATTTTATTTCTTTTCTTTTCTTTAGATGTAAAGTTTATGTATTAACAGAACAAAAGCGTCAAGGTTACTTTTTTACAGATGAAAACTTTCAAATACCAGATCACTCTTTAAACGGATGAGCCTACAATTTTGTGTTTGTGTTTTTATCAGGGGTTTGCAAATTATTGACATCGCCATTAGCTTTATGTCTTTGCAGACTATCATCTTTTGAATTTTCCTTATCCATATCTTCTAAATCTTGACGAGAGAGATGATCGACGATGCCTGCGCCAAAGGAATCTCCCAATACATTCACTGCAGTCCGAAATCGATCTCTGAAATATTAATTTCACATCGAGTATGTATATACATAAACTCAAATAATTAATGTGACAAATGTGCAACCAAAACTTTTTAAATGAAAAAAAAAAATAAACATATTTTCTGGTTGAGGCGAACTCGTTGCATAGATAGTATACTTATTAGTTGTAATGATGCAAATACAATGTAAACACATATTTATAATAACATGGCCTTCACCATAGTAAAAAATGCTGATTGCATGTTTGTAAAAAAACTAAATCCTTTGGAGGATTTCCGCATTCTTGGTTTCGTCATTGTTATTGTAGAGATGAGGGAGCACATGATAATATCTTTTATGAAGCAAACACACGCACAAAATCATTTAATTGTGGACTTACAAAAACCAGTCAAGTGCTAGAACTAGCCTCACTTCCTCCACCGGAAGTCCAACTGCAGACAAAACTATCGCCATGGTAACCAGTCTAGCCGATGGAACTCCTGCTGCCCCAATAGCTGCTGCTGTGGCTGTAAGACTGTCAAATAAATAAATTAATGCTTACTGAAGACTTTTTTACATTACAGTTCCCTATATTGAGAAAATTCATTCAAAAGGGTCATATTCTGCAGTTCAAACACACTTTTTTTCAAAGATCGAGTCGTTCCAAGTTGAAATGTTTGTGTGCACGTGCACGTGGTGACGTGGGTAATATCAACAAAAGAGATACTTTTTTATTATACTACCTTATGATTACAATCCGTCCTATGTCTAAGGACACTCCCAAGTATTGTGCAATAAAAATTGCTGCCACAGCTTCGTACAACGCTGTTCCGTCCATGTTTATTGTGGCGCCAATGGGGGTTACAAACATAGTCACGCGGTGGTCCACGTGATTTCTCTTCTGAAGACAATCCATCGTTACAGGTAGTGTGGCAGAGCTGCATGGATAAAAGATGTTCATATATCTACTGTAATTACTATATTATGCTATGTATAAGTCTGCCACTGAAAAAGTGGTAAAAGGACTGCTTGATTGATTGAGTGAGTGACTTTATATTGTTTACAGTCGTATTTCAGCCATATTTTGGCAACTCAAAATGGGATTTGAATTGGCAATTTGTTCCTGTACTTTTTTCCCTAGTTTGAATTAAGATTTGTATATATTTTACATGTATAAGTATTAGTTATCAGTTTCAAAGCTTATCAAATATAATAATATTTTATACTAAAATATGAGTCAAACAAAATTCCATAGAATTGCTTACAATATTAAAATGCTACACACTTTTTTACATTTAAATTCGAGTACGGAATACTCCATCTACCAGATCAATACAAAGGGCTCACGACGGGTGTGACTTTTTGACAGGAGCTTACCTCATGTAGGCACATGACCCTACCCCTGGTGATTCGAGGGGACGTACTGCGCTTTGCCCTGTTTTTATGATTAGTTTTGGATTGTTTTGATCACTGTTCGCTATTTTCACCGTTTACAAATTATTACCGGTCGCCCGCGTTGTGATCATAATGTTGCTGGTTCAAATCCACTGTGACGCGGAGACCGGTTCTTAAGATGAGTCCGTATAAATCGAGGTCCCTTTTGGGAGTAGTTGCTGGCACAAAAGGACCCCACACTGCTCTAAGGCTGTAAGTACTGAGTTTGCAGCCCTCCACCAGCAAATAGTGGCGTCTCAATATTAGTGAAAAATATAAATGAGACGTTAAACAAACAAACATAACAAATTATTATCGTATCGAATGTTAAGTATAATTTTAAAAAAGATATAAAACAACTAATACAAATAAAATAAAATATAATAAATAAATTTTAATACAATCAAATGAATTAAGATAACGTATCCTTCAAACATGTCTATTAAGATGCATTAATACCGAGATAGTCACAGCGCATGGTTAGAGCGTTTGCTCTAGAGTTGCGGTGTGAGAAGTTGATCTTTACGTCGCGAGTTCGCATCTCACTGCGGGACGTGGAGATCGGTCCTTTGGACGAGACCGTATAAACCGAGTAAAGATATAAATTTGCAGCCCTCCACCAGCAAGTTGTGGCGTCTCCATATGAGAGAAAAATTCTCGAGAGGGACTTAAACAACAAACAAACAAATAAACAAAACCAAAATCGATATTATCATAAGAACATAGAGATATTTAAGTTGCAATTACGTATTTATCTAGACCTTATAAGTGCTCATTTACCTGGATGCTGTACCCCAAGCTGTAAGCATGGGCTGAAGCATTCCATAAAGAAACCTGAATGGGTTCTTCCTTGTAAATATAAAGTAGATTAGAGGTAAAACTATAAAAGCATGAATTGCTAATCCAGTTAGAACGGTTAACATGTAATAGCCAAGTTGTGTGAACATCTCTGTGGGTTTTTCCATCCAACAAGTTTTGCAGCGATAAGGAAAATGATTTCAAAGGGTGAATACCTGTTAAAAAAGACTGAAATGGTTAGACAACACGACGATAAACAGAAGCAATTACCATAATCTTGCTTATAGGTTTCGCCTTCTACTGTAATTACAATTCTTACTCAATCCATGTTTTCTTATGTTGTACAAATTGTCATACTATTTGTATAAACAATTTATCAGATTTTATAGAAAAAAAACTAATAAAAAAGCATAAAATGTAAACTTCTTGAATCCGAAAGTTGAGTTTTAGAAATAGTTAAGTTAACAAACCATATGACAAGCGTTATCAGTTTCATTGTTGCAAGATGTAGACAATCAAATACATCTACAAGAGGTTTTCCCTTGTCACCGAGGTTTGTTAAAACACCACATGTCCAAGAACGTTCATTCCTGATGCATCATGGACATTCATGGAAATAACATCCCCATCTACAGAATATAAAGAGAAATGACTTGCCAATTTTTTGCACGCAAGTAGAAAAACGTGTTATCTAACAGTTAATACCAACTAAAGATCATGTCTCATAAATCAATCAAACATATTTTTTCTCTAAATCTGCCATCCAGTATTAGAAACTTATTTCCTTTGAAATCTTACCTATGGTTTTTTGGGTAACGATAGTCTGATTGATGACAGATGAGGTGTTTTTAAACATAATGTTATTGCCTGCTGTGTTATTATTTGTGGCGTTCAGTCCGGGGTTTGACCGTTCTGTCACGTTGATTCTTTCATATACAGTCACTGTTTCTTGCTAGGAAAATAAATATTGCTTAAAAAGCTAGAATCTAAAGAAGTTAAAGTAATACACATTAAAAAGAAACAAAATAGAACAAAAATAAAATATCTTCCTCCAAACAATTTACATTTAAACTACTTACATTTAAAAGTCTTACTATAACTGAAACATTTTTCTGTATATATGCACTAGTCTTTAAAAAGGAGAAAATGGATGGTACTATCAATTTGAATTTTTTATCTTAAAAAAAGTTTTAGAAAGTCGAAAATATTATAGGTTCGAAAATCATAAAAGCAGTAATCTGTATGAAAACAGAAAGTACTAATTTATTTATTCAGCAGAATCGTACCTACCTTTTGAAAACACGCTTTAATCAAATTTGATGGAAAGCAATTTCTGAAAAAGAAAGTATGTCTTATGTAATTAATTCCCTTTTTGTTTTAAGTATCTAATGGATGGAGATTTTCTGTGTTCTTTATGATGTAACGACACATATTTCTTACTATGTTTTCTTGACTTCTATTACTACCGTTTTTTCTATATAATAAGCGTATAAAGATTGTCTTCGAGAATATGGAGACCACATGAACATTTTGTATACTTTTTAAAGCAAATTGTTAACAACATTTGATTCACAGATTTTGATAGTCAATCAATTGTTCTCAACTAATGATAAAATATGAGTATTTGTTATTTTCTGTTCGCACAGATTAATCCAAACGACAGTTGCATCAAAATTTGTAAATTTCAAAAGCTATTAATTTAAAACTAATTTGTAAGTAAACATATAACTTGATGTATTTGTCATTTTTCTATAACTTCCAGCTGAAAATATAATTATCAAACCCTTTAGCTCTTTTTTCGTAACATTTTTTCATCGGCTCATGTGTCAAATCATCTCATTGTGTATGTGAATGAAAAAAAATGTACGGGAAATATGGAGATAAGGAACAGTATTTAAACTCAAAGTCCATTAAGACAATACAAATCGGGAGCAGAGCAAAAACGGACCTCCAAAAACATCAGAGGTGGGATCAGGTGCCATGGAGGGGTGAGAACGTCTCGTTTTAGAAAATGCTCATTGTAGAGCATGCTCTTGCGTATCGAATCAACTGGGAGACAACATCCCCAAATGCAGGTGATAAGGGTATATTGCTAAAAAGTAAGAGAAGTTGACGATTGAAAAATTGAAGTCATCACGTTTATCATAAAGCTTTGTTGTTAGGTTACCATCAATGTCTTTTTTGACTAAAATATCCAAATATGAAACAGACGTGTTAGACCCTGTGCTATCTTTTATTTCAAGCTCACTAGGATATATCGAGTCGACATATGAATGGAAGTAACTATTATTAATTGATAAAACGTCGTCGATATATCTAAATGTCGAGTTAAACGCCACACATTATTCTCATGTGGAAGTTTTTGAATAATTTCTGCTTTATATGAATACAAAAATAGGTCTGCTAATATCAAGGCGCAATTGTACCCATGGGAATTCCAGCAGATTGTTGGAAGACCTGATCTCCAAAAACTACATAGATACTGTCAATCAGAAACTCAAGAATTTTTTTTAACGTCAACTTCAGAGTACTTGTGTGTACAATCAGAATGTTTTTTAAAAAAATAATTTTGCAAATGAGCAATGACAAGGTAAGTACATTTACGAGTTCCATTTTTATTTAAAAAAAAAAAAAACAACAACACATGTTTATGATGTCAAAAAGCCTGGATTTTAATTGATCGTGAGGAATGGTTGTATAAAATGTTGATAAATCGTACTTCTTGATGTTATTGATTTTAGGAAAATTTTGTTTTTTCAAATTTTCTGAAAGTCCCTTGGATGTATTTTCCTTACATGTATTTTAATCGACTAAAATCATTAAAATCCACTATTATACATATGAGATCACTTATGACAGGAATTTCTAGAGGTATCCGTTACATGTATGTATATAATATTAAACTAACCCCACCCATCCAGATTGAAAAGCGTAGTGATAGAGGTGTCCGGGCCTCAGCCCTTTCACTCTTATTCCCGATTTCTTTTGCACCACGAATACAATTTCATGAAATTCTCATAAAATCTCAATTAAATAGTGGCCCTGTGCATCTTCTACTTTATCTAAGCTAAGTTTTGTTTTAATTTCAATTTGTAATCTATGTATACATGTAAAGCCAACTTTCGAAATGAGTTTAATCAGCCACCATAATAACGCATTTTTGTGATGTCACATTACTTCGGTGATCACTTGAGGGTCATTTATCATAATTCGAAAATGTTGCACAAAATTCCCATCGGTATAAGTGATAAACGAAACTGTTGTGAAAATTGTGTTATATAAATAAATTAATCATATCCTATTATATACGTATATAAAATACAAGAGGCAAGTTTTTCACTCTTCGTCGCAATTTATGCAACGTATAGGTTATAAATCAGAAATTCCCCAACAAGATTTAATAAGAGAACATACTTCTCTTGTCAATTCACACAGAAAACCTTCAATTTATCCTTATTAATCACTTATGCCAGTATTTTTTGAATACGTTGTAATACCTGAATTCAACGTCAAAGAGAAATACTTTCCACATGTCACAAGACAGGAATGTACAAATCATAACACTCTACCTAAGAGCTCAAGTTTGCAGTGACGTGAATTCAAATTCTATATTATGAAATATCGTAGTTCAGAGAAGCTGGTGCACTGTGATATTTTACGGACAGCCTTATACTAGCCGTCTCATATTTTTATCTTTTGATTTGACATATATTTGGTCTTTTCCATTGTCATTATACTCAAATGATAGCAGGCGTATCATTTTGTAAGCTCAGTGCTTACAATACTTTCAGTGTTTTTAAACAAACAAAAGAAATAATGTCATGAATGTCTAATGTTTCTGCTTCTTAATACATGTACCATGTTACAATTGCAATTTAAAATGTCTAAGCTCTTAGACCTTTTTTAGTGAAACAGAACATGTTAAAACATATTTCCTAGCAAGCCACACAGGCATATTCCTATTTGTATTAAGAATATATTTTTAGTCCCAAAGTCAGAATTATAGGCATCTTATTTGTTGAAAAATGAAATTTGTGTATTATTTGTACCTGCTGTTTTGCTTAATACATCTACTCAATATTTACATTAGAAAGCCAAAGAGGGCACGTTTATTTACTATTTAAACAGCCTTATCTTCAAGAGTAAAAGGGTCAAATTGTTATTTTGTTTTATTTGAACTTTTTTTTTACAGAAAAATATTTTAGACAGAAGAGATAACCGACCGATTCCTTATCGTAAAAGTGGAATGTTCACGAGGTAAACAAACGTGTGTTGAAATATTAAAGATAGGTACATATATAAAGTATTAGTTCTACAGCTTATTTATTGCAATTCCCTTCTACTTGATACAGTGTGCCTTGCCTAATACTAACATTCCTCTTTATTATTGTATATTATAAGCCAACGATCATCCTAAAAGATGGTGTTTAGAGATAATAAATGTTAGAGGATCTGAAGAATAAAGACGAAATAATAGAATAAGAAGTGAAAATATTTTTTTTAATTTAAAACGGTGAAATTATAGGTGCATCGTTAAATCATTGCAAATATTTTGCCTTCAAAAGCAATGTATTCTTATGACACATGTCTTGTGATGAAGGAGACCATAATTTCTTATATTGACCATCACAGTATATGCGTTTTCTGTATGAGCGCTAAATAAATATTGCACGAAAATTTGTTGTTTCTCTCATCTGATCAGTTCTAAATATAGTTTTAACAAATGAGTACCTGATGAGGTCCAATAAGGCCGACAATCCCTCCGCAGACTTCGCAGTCCCACTTCTCTCGATAACGGCTTCTCTTCTATGGCCAGGTCGGATAGACACCACGAGAATGATTCCCAGAATGACCGCACAGAATGTGGTGACCATATAATAAAGCACCGTCCTTAGTCCCATTCTTCCTGTGGCCTGAGCTTTAAGGCCAGACATTGCGCTGATCAAACTGGACACAATTAGTGGCAAAATCAACATTTTTAACATGTTGAGCAACAGATCCCCGGGGAATTGTAAATAAAATATTGCTTTCTTGTCTTTTGTTGAAATTTTTATTTCTAAGTCCTAATCCCATTCCTACACCGATGACAACAGAGATGATCATTAATATGACCAACAAGTTGTCTTTTATGATGGCTTTGCATCGCTGTTGTCCGATTCTTCTAAGGCCCATTTCGTTTTGACTGATATCTTACGCTGAGCTACCGAGAATAAAATAACTTCCATATTCTGCGTTCTACATATGTCCAAGATAAGGGTATGAGTAACGACGAGATAAATTTAATATTAGGAAATTGTACTGAAAGAACTCGAGGCAGCTCTGTCATTGATTACAAAAAAACTTGATCGCTAATTGATATAAAAAAAATTCAAAATATTCCTCAAAAAAAAAAAAATTAAAATTGTTAATCTGAAAAAAAAAAAATCTGACCACTGAGGGTGCTGTCTCTGAATAGACAACAGTTTCAACACACCACTTTTCCTTTTCTTACCTTTTATGCAGTTGGCCCTTTTAACATTCGTATAAAGTAAAACAGTTGAAGATAGCACTTGAGGGTTTTGTTTTGTATAAAATCCGAACTTGTACACAGATAATATTCTTTACACTAGAGTAGCAGTAGAGTCTGCAAGCTCAAATATGTCAGAAAATGAGATACATGTACAATGTAGCTATGGAGATGACAATCAAATGTAATTAAGCCTTGCGTGCCAGGTAAGAATAATTTACTTCTATTTATAAACATCCTTATGACCGAAGACTATTATTATCCATATTTTCATTATTTTTATCAGATAATTAGGTCCATACGCCCTTTTTAATTTTGGTGCTCTGAAATGCCTTCAAGGTGCATGGACGTAGATTTGAAGTTAATATTTTTCTAAGATTTATAACATCATGACATATGTTGCTATAGCATTTCATACCAAAGTATAAATTAAGGCGTGTTTAGAAACTTCTTTTATGTGCAAATTATTAAAACTTCGAACTTCGGGACACGTTTGATTTCCTTGAACTTTCACAAAGTAAAATTTATCCTTGATACTTAAGAAAAGTAGAAATTTTGTTGTGTATCAATGAAAATTATCAAAACTATAATCCAGAAAATTCAGAGTAGAACTGCGAGGAAGCAGTATTGTCAGTCCGTGCTCAATGATGTGTGCAGAGTAAACAAATTGAACACACCCGGTAAAACGTAGACATTAGCAATAACAGAACTCGTGCCCTATTTACAAACATAGATGTTTGACGTGATATTATGAAACAAACAGAATTATTATACCTCATATAAATAATCACTAGTAAAAAAGATTCTGATTCTGACTTTGTCACGAAGGATTTTTGTTCTTTTGAAGCGCGGCTAGTGGTGTAACTTACATCTGTTTCATATTGTTCTTAACATATATTTACTTTATTACTTGGATTTTCTTTATATTTCCTGCACTGTGCTTGATTCGGTATAATAAACAATATATTGCATGCTAGTGAGGGAGACATGACGATTTCTTCGCCCATGAGAAATCATATTCCCCTCGGGCGTTGCCCTCGGGGAATATGATTTTTCATGGGAGAAGAAATCTTCATGTCTCCATCACTAGCATGCAATAAACGTATAATGTTTGACGTGATGTTTAACGTGATATTCTGAAAAAATCACAGATGTTTGACGTGATATTAAGGAGAATGTCGTTGTCATTGAATTCTAATAATATTTGGGTAAGTTCAATTCATACAACTGAAGTGATTTTTTGACTAAAATAGAATTTTAAAATTGTAAACAATGAAACTGCGTCCAGTCCCCTTTAACAGGATACAAAAAGGCAGTCTGTGAAAATAGTCTCAAAATATTGCAGACACATTTAAACAATTTATAAGGTGACTTATTCAAAGGTATGATTATAAGACATTAAAATTTGGCAAGATAGATAGATTGATTGATTGATTGTATGTTGTTTTACGTCCCATTCGAGAATTTTTCACTCATATAGAGACGTCACCACATACCGGGGAAGGGCTTCAAATTTTGACCTTTACTCGGCACTCATGGCCATTGAGCAGTGAGGGATTTTTATCGTGCCAACGCCTGTCGTGACACGGGGCCTCTTTTTTTAAAGGTCTCTTCCAAAGGACCCGCAACTTTCACTTCAAAGTGCCGAGCGCATGGCGAAGGAACAGTTGCTACCCATTTTTTATTGACTTAGGTCAGTCGCGGCCGAGATTAGAACTCACGACCTCCCGATCACGGAGCGAGCGCTCTACCAACTGAGCAACCGTGAACGGTGGGCAAGATAGAAATTGACTACTGGCAAAATAGTTTTGTTTCCATATGAGAATTGCGCATCAGGAAATAGGAACTCGACAAAAAATAGGTGCTTAATTTCGTATTTCTGCCTACATTCGTTCCTCTGTATAAGATGAATACATCTTTTTTTTCCGTTTTCTATTTCAACAGACCAGACGCTGTTTGCTTTAAAACAGAGATAACTGAATACAATTGATAACACATTCATTTAATTCTAATGCACGATTAACATATTGTGAAATTATAATTGTTCATTGGGGGGGGGGTGCAATTTTCTTTGATTTCGTGGGTCACACGAGCTTACATCCCTACGAACAATTATTGTCAACATATTTTCTAATTGAATTTTCTGTATATACGATTTACCAACAAAATTACTTCCCCACGAACCAATAAAATTTTGCTTTCCCTCGAACACTGACCTCCACGAATTTGAAATGATTTCACAGAACTTATTTCTTTAATTATTTATCTTATTTGCGAGTCATACATTAATCTGACGAGGTAACCATCTATGAATAGAGTCTGTGTTTTTTTCATTCCTTTAAGGCAAGATTAAAATTAATTATATTATTATACATTTTAAACACCTCTACCACAAAGCAAAACATAGTCCATTTATAAATCGATACTTTTTTAAATGAATGATAGCCACATGTTAGCTATAGATCTGTTGCTGTCTTGTCTGAATAAAAATTAGGTAGGAGGACCAGAGAGCTACTGTGGCATTCATTGAAAAGTGTATGATTCCGATTTAAACTGCCAGCACGAAATACTACTAACCGTGTGCTTCTTATATATACTTTATTTCCAAATCAAAACATTTCTTATAACCGTCGTTACTAGCTCTCCTAGGCCTGAAATGAAGACCATACAAAATTTCGCCTTTTTCAGCTGCCATGTTGGGTAGCAAAGCAATTTGGCCCAATGTGCTTCATGCAGACGTCAACTACAAGAGTAGTTGATAAAGGTTGAAGGAATTTTTTGCAATTGGAGTAGGAATTTTTGAGAAATTATTCCAAAACAAAGCGCAACTTTTTGAGCACATTTTTTTCCTATGGGTGGCAATGTAGCTCTCCGGTCTGTCAATTTTTTTTTTCGGATAGCTACAGTTCTGCGGCTTGCTACACAGTCATATAAACAGTCATTTTATGAATAAAAACCAATTAAGGGTATAGCATAAAAAATCATTTGCTTCAATAGCCAATTGAACAATATTATTTTCTTAAAGATATAGTAATGCACTTGGGGAAGGAATTATCCACAAATCTGGTATCATTAACATTTTTCAACAATTTACATATACTCACGGTCATAAGGTAATGTTTGGAAAGTTAACGCTTTAACAGGATCCACTGAAACTAACCTAAAAATGTCCTAGTATGAGTTTTCCGATGCTAAATATAAGATAATACATATTTTTAAATTAAATCTGGCACGAATTAAGTTAAACTTTCGGGGGGGGGGGGGGGTTACGGAAGATAATCGTTACGAAAATTAATTTTCAGCAACAAAAGTGGTTACGGAAGATAATCGTTATGAAAATTAATTTTCAGCAACAAAAGTGATATTTTCGGCAATCAAATTAATTAATAAAATATGTTTCCATGGAGATTTTTAAATTTTTTAAATAAAGTTATGGGGTAAGACATTTAAGAATTATACTAAATTTTACTACGGAGCACTCCGTATACCTGATCAATACATAGGACTTAGGCGGGTATGACTGTCAACAGGGGATATTTACTCCTTCTGGGCACCTGATCCCACCTACTGTGTTTCCAAAGGTCCGTATTTTTGTCCTGTTCATGATTCGTTTTGATTAGTGGATTTATGATCACTATTCGTTATCTTCACATTTTACATCTTCTTGATCTTGACGAGAAATGAACAACTCTGCACAAAATGTTTTCCCAAACCTTTACACCACTTTAAAATCGATCCATTAAATATTTGTAAAAAAACATAAGACGTTTACCTCTTTGAAACAGAGTAAACAGGTAAATGTTTAAAAAAAAAATGCTAAATTCTAATAGCATGGTAAGAAATATTCCTGAATTCACTGATGAAATTCTTAATTTATCTAAAAATATGCTAATTACTGTCCAAACAGCTCAGAGACCTATCCGTAAAGGAAATAATGTTAAGTCACAATACAAGTGCTTTTTAGTCACATTATAAATTACTCAGATTGCAAGCACAATGAAACATAAATTTACAATATATATTAAAAAAAAATAGTAGAAAGGTTGGTGCAATCTGGGTTCTCGAGTTATTTAAGTAATTTAGTAAAATCTGAAGAACATACAAGGTTTCAACGTTGGCGTATAAGACACGAGGGAAGTCATAAAATTGTTAATATAAAGCAAACACGATCAAAAAAAAAAAATCAAGTACAATAACAAGTTTCACTCCCTCTACTGGAAGACCAACAACAGAGAAAGATATCACCATTTGGAGCAAGACCAGCCGATGGAAGTCCGGATTACTTTGGCTGTTAAACTGTCATGGGAACTCCTGCTGACTTTTGGCTGTCAAACTGTCATTGGAACTCTGCTAGGCTATTAGTGTATGCATTATATATCACTGGAGTTTCCCTACAAACTACATGTAGGTATTATAAATAACATGTATTAACAAATAACTAATTCCTAGAGCAGGTATCATTAAACCATTATGGATTTTTTTTTGTCTTCAAAACTATGCATTTCTTATGACATGTGCGATTATAGGGCAAATGAATTGTTGTTTTCATCATTTATGGTAGCAGGATATGCTTCTGGCTTTCATAAAGACTTTACAAATATAGTTACCGTAATTCAGTTTGTCTGTTGTCTACTCAGAATGAAAACATTTTTGATATTATTTAAGCATTTGTCTGATGAGGTCCAGTAGGACTTAAAATTTATCTGCCGATTTGGTTGTTCCACTTCTCTCGAGTTCGTTGTCCATTTCATGGCCAGACTGGATTGATACGACCAGAATTATTTCCAACACCATCAAATGGAATTTTGTGACCATACAGTAAACCACTGTTTTTGTCCAATTCTTTCAGTGGCATCTGCTTTAAGACCGGACATAGCGTTTATCAAAGGGCTAAATCAACATTTTCAGCATATTGAGCAACAGTACCCTAGGAATTGCAAATGCGATATTGCTTTCTTGGCTTTTGGTGAACTTTCATTTTATTTTGTAATTCTTACTTTTGTGAAAGCAGCAAACATCATTAAAATGACCAGCAAGTTGTCCTTTATCATGATTTTGTATCAAACTTGACTAATTCTTTTAGTCACCATTATAAACTTATTTCTTGGTTTAATCTTATGCCGAGCTACCAACATTAAAAACTTCCTTATTGTACTTTTTGCCCCACGAAAGAAAAACAAGATAAGGGTTGGAGTAATGTACAGATAAATCCTAATATTAGTGGATTGCACCGAAACAACCCCAAACAACACTGTCATGAATTTAAAAAAAAAGACCTAATCGATAACTGACACAAAAAATCGTCCTCGCTAGAAGGTGTCGAATAAATGAGAGTTCAGAAATAAAATCTGGAAATAATGAAAAGTAATCATGCTCAAATGTCCATTGAAGCAGAACAAACGCTGAAAATATTTTAAAAAATAAATAAAAGATGATAATGAAAAAGAAAATAATAAATAAAAGTACATGTTCCAAGGAGAAACTTGATATGATATTGTAAAAATTGAATATTTAATATAATTATATATAATTTTCTTTATATGCTTTGATTAAGTTTTTTTGAGTACCTTCACTTACTGTTCATACAATTAAAAATTTCCTGTTTTACTTTAAAAATGCTTTGAAATATTTATACAAGTACTTTAAGTATTAGAAAGTACAACAATTGTTGGTTGCCAGCAACGGATTTACATTTGGAGTAAAGGTATTTCAGTGTGATAACTTTTATAGGTATTATTGACCAATATTAAAATCAATTCATACATAATTTATTCATAAACAATAAGTACTGCTCTTCAGATGTAATTGATATTTATTACATGTTATGTTATTATAATCAATGTCTCATTAATTTTATGATTTCTTTCATTCAGATTGCCAACAAGTCATCAACTCTCTGGACATGCAGCGTAAGATCATCCAAACTTCGATGCCATGCCACAGTTAGCCAAAAAGGAGACCACTTTAGGGCAGGAGTTCAGCCACACTGTCATCCAGCAGACCCTAAACTCCCCATCTACAAAGAAGTAGCTGCAATGGTATTTTCCTATTCTATCTATTCTCTTTCAAATACAAAATTTTTAATTACTTATTCATTAAGTGATATTTATTGTACTGCATTCTTTAAAATACTTTTCATTAAATTATAAAATGTTATTGTAATGACTGTTAAGATTAAAACCAAGCTGTAATCTCAATGTACTTATAGATGCATTGCTAATTATGTTATTTTTCACAGGTGAAGGAATGGATCAGTAATCAGCCACAATCTAGAGCCCTGGGTGTTGTGACTGATGTTGTGACCAGCTGCATTCCAGAAGAACAGCGTTTCCTTGCACCCAAGCAGAGCCTCCTGAAAAGAACTGCCAACAAGTTCAGATCTGCCAACACCCCACAAGAACCTTCAGATCTTGATTTTGAGGTAATATAAAATATTTTAAATACCTATTTCAGAAATTACAATAAAAACGTCTATAAAATTAAATTTGAGATATGATTGAATTACTGCATTATACATTATCATAATACCTTATTAATTAGAAAAAAAAAAACCCACAAAACTATGATGCTGAAACCTTATAAGATTGCAATGCTGTATAGATAATGCTAATTATTACATATTCTTATAATTTCAGTTGGACGTGGACTTCCTGAAATGTGAAGATTTCCTACTAGCAGACCTCAGAGTTGGTGCTCATAGACATTTAGTTTTCGCAACACCATTCCAGAGGAACCTCCTGAAGCACTCTAAACGCTGGTTCATGGATGGCACATTTAAGGTATGGATTATTGAATATCTTGTGACCATAATATTTATAATATATTATAATATTTATATATTTTATTGTAATACAAACTGCCTTTAATATAACATAAATGAATGAATATGGATTATTTTCTCTCATCTATGAAATAAGTATATTAAATCATTTAATGATATGTTTCTTTTATAGGTTGTCAGGGATCCTTTCAAGGCCTCCGGACAACTACTTAGCATCCACTCCTTCATTCTCCAAGATGGGCGTCGGAAGCAGCTCCCACTTGCCTTTGCCTTGATGTCGAGGAAGACAGAGGAGGACTATGTAGCTGTGTTACAGGCCATCGTGGACTGTCTCCAGCAGACCAGTGTGGAAGAGTTCATGGTGGATTTTGAAGTTGGTAAGTCATTTGGTTATTTGATTTAATACTGTTTTTATAATTTTTAAATCTGCTTGATCATGTGTAGAGATATAAATACAATATTTATGGAAAAAAATGTTTAATGTCTAATTCAATTTTGTAATATTATAATTGTTTAATTGTATAATGGAATATTCAATTAAAATAATAATAATATTTATTTTCAAATTCAGGTGCCTGGTTAGCCATTCGCCGTGTTTTTCCAGCAGTGGCGATCAAGGGGTGTGTGTTCCATTGGACGCAAGCGGTCTGGAGGCACGTACAGTCCTGTGGTTTGGTTAGGGCATACAGGGATCAGGAAGCAGTCCACAAGTACATCCGCCAACTACTTGCGCTGCCCTTTCTGCCTGCCCAGCACATCGTGGACACCTTCCCACACCTGAAAGACAGGGCCAACACCCCCCAACTGCAAGACCTGGTCAATTACATCGACCGCCAATGGTTCCGTCACCGGGTGTTCAGGGTGCAGGACTGGTCTGTGTTCCAACGCACCGTCCGTACAAACAACGATGTTGAAGGTAACTATGATACTTACTTACTTCTTATGCCGAATGTTATTTCTTATGCATAATGTTTTTTCACGAGAATTAAATAATGTCTTTTACTTATAAAGTGGTATAAAACAGATTTAGATACAATTAAAAAATAAATATGTACAATAAGGAATAATAGATTGAACAACTCAATAATATTGCTTATGCAGAATGTTATTTCTTATGCATAATGGTTTTCAACTCATAATATGGTATAAAGCAGACAATAAGACTGAACAACTCAATTATATTTCTTATTCTTTTCAGGGTGGCATAACCGGTTGAACACCATGGCCAGACATGGAGGAGTGCCATTCTACAAGCTGATTCCACAGCTACGTCAAGAGGCGGATATCGTGGATGTCACTGTTCGGGCTGGAGATCTCGAGAGGGACACAAACAGAAGGTACACGGCGATGGAGAAGAGGATCGAAAAGGCCTGGGAGGAGTACATGTCTGATGCCTGGTCGACGACCCATTTCCTCCGTGCGATCTCGAACTGTTACTGCCCCTCAGTCAACACCGAGCTCGAGTAAACCACTGTTTACCAATTATAATCAATTAATTATATCAACACTCGGATGCTCACAGGTATAGTGTCATCTATGTAAACACCCAATTAACACCTCCATGCCAGCCTCAGGTGTTCACTGTTATCAAGGTAAGTCCAAGCTGCATTAATTTTACGCTTGATTGGCGTGTACACACGCGCAATCAAAACTTCGAGAGATAGAGAGTAAAAAACAATGAAATGTGTGTAACGGGACCCAGGTCTTGGTTCGAGAGATGGAGGACTTCGATAGATCGGAAGTTTGAGAGATCAGAAGTAAATTTTCTTAGTTATATAGAGGAAAAAAACGGGACTGGAGGTTCACTTCGAGAGATCGAGAACTTCGAGAGATCGGAGTTCGAGCCATCGAGAGTCACCTGTATATTAAGCTAAGAAAATATAATGATTGTGTCAAGATGAATACAGCATTTTGTGCTTGTAATTAAGGGTTAGTATTTATTGAGACATAAAACCAAATCAATCGAACATCCAAGGAACACAAACATAGGCGACAAAGGTTCAAAAATCAGCTCAAATAAACAGTGTTTTTATCAAATAAGTTGAACCTGTTCACTGACTTGTCTATTTCTACCTGATATTCAAATATTCATACTCTCATTGTGCATACAAGTGAAAGGGCAAAATTTATGGTTTAAAATTGTGCTTGAGGTCCATCACGCATTATTATTTGATGACACTAATGCAAAGTCTCGAAATTTTGCTCTTCGATGGAAGTAGCGCCAAAACAAAACGCTCGGGTGAGAATATATGTAAAATTGAAGAAACGGAATGATTCAATAAAGTGGAAAAGTCAATAATCTCTTCTCTGTGCAAATATCTTAATAAAAATTTTCTCTTCCAAGTGTTTTCAAAGTCAGATCAAAACGCTGAATTTGGCAGATAGATTTAGCCCCTATGCAATTTTTCATTCTTCTTTCATAACACCCGAGGTGTGTACAGCAGAGCAAGCGCTCGCGGGTACTGTAACTCGCGAGAAGAACTTATTTACTGAACGGACGCGAGTGCTCGTCTTTATCCAATATGGCGGAAGTTTTCACTGAAATTCTATTGTTTTTTTAATTAATCGCTGTACGGTTATTCCCGGAATGCAAGATCGAAGGAGATTTCAATTTTAGATGCTTTGTTTACCATTACGACAAACCGAAAGTTGATGAACACCGAAGAGGGCATTGGAAGGTTGACTCGAGTACAAGGGGGAAAGACTTCGACAATCAGGTCGTTTTTTGTCTCTGTAAGTTAAAGAAATAGAGAGTAACAAATAGGATGAATTCACCATGCATCGGACACCATTGCACTTCAACAAGTTCTAGCGATATCGCTACCGACCGAATATTATCAAAATGGAACTTAACATGTAGTATGTGGTTTAAATATGAATTTTTGTTTCTTCTATACAATACATTACATTATTATATGTATAACAGATCATCTTGCCCAATGGCTCCAGTTATAAAGATGACATACCATTTCTATCAAATTCGGACGCCTTATTGGTAACGCCTGAAGAGACAGAACATCTAGATTCAGTTGAAACAAAAAACTCGGACTCCATCAAAAAGGACGGCTCAGAATTTATGGCTTTCGGTGCTCGAGTTAAAGATTACCTGCAGTAGCATTTTATTTTTTGAAATGATAAAGATCACAATAAAATAATACGAAAGAAAAAAACCGCATCGAAATCTATGCACAAATAACGAAGTTATCGCGCTTTAAAAGTGCCTATTTTTACCTGTTTTGAAAATCCAATCAAGCGAAAATAGAAATGATCGATAACGAGGCTCTACTGGTGTGACGTCACAACATGTACCGCATAAGCGGGTCAGTATTAACGACAATGAGATTAACTTGGAAAACAACGACGATTTTAGCTTTGATATGAGGCATTGGTCTATAAGTTTTAAAAATTCAGACGGAATAATTATTGAGCTTTGCATCAGACCTTACTAGGCTGAACCAGAAACCGATTCTAACGAGGAATTTATAGAGATTTCAAAACAACCTACAGCCAGGGTCGTGTATACTACAGTTAAAGTTCCTGTATATATCTCCCTGTTACAGCCTACTGAATATGACTGGAAAAAAAATCATCAAAACCAAAATACAGGAATTTTTAATTCTATATTTTCAATGTCCTAAAACAGTTCGTTCATCAAGCTGTTAATTATTTCAACAAGATCTTCATTACTATCGGCTAAATGATAATTGACGATTTTCTCGTTTGTATAAAAATTCTTCTATGTCTAAATTTGATAATCAGTTGTTACCATTTAGCAATCAGCAGCAGCAATATTATCAATTTAATTTTACTTCAAAGTCACGACCAAATATATTTTCAAAAATCGGGTCATTATCAATATACAAGTAATTAAAACTAATTGTTAAATAATGATATCCGCGTACTCCTAATTATTTTTTTTAAACTGTATACAAATCACCATTTGACAGACTAAACAGTTTTAATTCATTAAAGTGTAAAATATTTAATCTATCAGATTTTTCAACAAGTTCTTGGTAATCAGTTTAATTTACACGTGTGGCGGGGTAGGACTTGGGATTACGTGATTAATACACTTGCCATGGTCAAGACCGATGACTTGGAAAGGTGTGATAAACATTCGATACCTCCGGCTATTTATTTATGTCCCACTATATATTTGACAAAGGAGCCGATGAATGTCTCAAATCGCACCATTCAAGATTGCGTCGAGTGATTTTGATTGACAGGTGAAGCACGTGGATTTCGTACGTAACCACGGAGACGAACATGTTACAGGTCCCTGGTGCAGGAAAATAAGAAACACGAATAAACAGAAGTTGAATAAGCAAGAAATTTATTTAAAAATGGCTTTGACAGATTATGTAAGAAAGATGAATACAGAAACACTTGTTTGAATCAAAAAATTATGTGTGTGTGTGTGTTGGGGGGGGGGGGGGTTACTTATAAATTCAACTGACGTTAAAAATGAACAATCCAATATAATAATAAAAATGTTACTGATATTGAAGATATAACGAAGAACATAAAATTAAATAACATTTGTTGAATCAATAACATGGGGAGGGGTGTTGAACAAGGGAATCTCAGTCTCACTCACTCTCTCATATTAATTCTATGTACTTCCCAATACTAAATAATAGAAAAATATATACGCGTATTCTATACTTTCACTTTTCAAAGAATACAACAGCAAACATCATATAAGTACTTACCAGGGACCTATACACTAACCCTGTACTTACTTTTTTTTTTATTTAAATTAGAAATGTTTTCTTTTATTAACTTACGTTTACGATCTACGATTTGTTAGTGAAACGGTCGCCTGTTCTGTCTTTTTGTGATTATTGCTTACAAATAGAATTTAAAAAAAATGTCAATACATATTCGGAAGGAAAAAAATGACGATAGAAATGGCATAACCCATCGATTCCTAATTGTTGGAAAATATGAATCGATGATTTTTGGCAATTCCTTGTATCGTTACTTATTATAACCACACACAAAGAAATAATGAAAAAAATATTCACTAAACTAATTTCAAACAAAAATAAGAGCAAATACTATAGTCATAGTTAATTTAATATTCACAAAATCCCTAAAAATTAATGGAAAAAACACTAAAAAACCTCATCGTGTTTCTACCGTATTCTATGCATTCAAAATGGCCGGTACATGTTGTGACGTCACAGCGGCTAAGGCCCGAAAACCGAGCGTTTCAGAAAATCGCTCAGGTGTGAAATAGGGTTTTTCCCCAATAGCTTCGTTAGTTGTGCGTAGATTTCGGTGCGGTTTTTTTCTTTAGTTTTATTTTAGCATGATCTACAACATATTTAAAAATAAAAAGCCACTGCAGGTACCCTTTAAGACTGTGGAGGATGTCAAGAATATGTACAGCAAGGTTTTAATAGATCCATATGCAGCAAGTGCAGATAATCGTATCTTAGTTTATAGATTTTCTACAGAAGATGGTACCGTGCATGAAAATTATCATGATGATTGTGAACATGGGGCAGGGCGCAGACTTTTGCGATACATGAGAGAAAATCAAATTCACAACACAGCTTTCGTCATTACAAGATGGATGGGCGAAGCCCATATTGGACCTCAAAGATTCGCAATCATGGAACAACTAATAAACGAAGTCGCTAATTCCATGGAAATTTGACTTTTGAAGCCATATGCACGGTAATCTGACAGTACATAACTTTAACAGTAATACAACTTAGTAAAGAACTATTATAATTGACATAATAGGCGTTTTATGAAATGTGGCCTTTATGATTTTGTAAATATGTTTTTCTTTTCATAAGAGAATACGAATATTAATGCCGTCTTCAATTCAAATTTTAAAATATTGAAAGTTGTGTTTAAAAAATCTTTATTTTTGTCAATAGAAATGCAAAAATCCGGATTTAAAAATAATTTCCGACTTGGAAAATATATTTGTAGTTTTCCGGAATTTAAATGTTCACTCTTTTTGGTTTATTATTCTATCTTCATGGCGGCATATCCGATATGATTTATTTTCATAAATTGTCTCTGCCCTTCCGACCAAATCTCTAATAAGTCCATATCTACCTCTCTATGATGCATGTGTCTTTATTACTAAACCCTTCTCCAATCTTCTCTTCTACCTTTAGAGCAGCTTCTTTTCTGTTTCTCATTCTGCATGTTTATGAGTTAATGATGGTAAGTGAATGTTTGTCCAAGTGTTTTGCAACAGTTCAATTTCATATATCATGTCTGGTGTTACAGTAGTTTCAGCAAACTGTCAGGGTCTGCATGATTATAAAAAGAGAAAGGATGTACTCCAATATTATAAGCAATTTCAATGCAATATTCTGTGTCTACAAGATACTCATTTTACAAGTGATATGGAGAATGATATAAGAAATGAATGGGGATATGAGGCATATTTTAATTCTTTTTCATCAAAGTCAAGAGGTGTAGCTATATTTTTGAATAATAATTTTGAGCATGAGGTTCATAATAAAATATCTGATGATGCAGGGAATCTTTTGGCTCTAGATTTGACAATTGAAAACAAGCGTCTGAGCTTAATTACAATATATGGACCAAATAAGGATATACCGTCATTTTATGAAAGACTATCAGAAATTATAAAGGATTTATCAAATCAAGATGTTATTTTGGTAGGAGATTTTAATTTAGTTTTGGACCCAGAAAAAGATTATTTCAATTATCTTCACATTAACAATCCAAAGGCAAGAAGTAAAGTTTTAGAAATCATTTCTGATTACAATTTCAGTGATATTTATAGAGAAATGAATCCTGATGAAACAAGATATACTTGGCGTAAACCTTCCCCATGTAAACAAGCAAGATTAGACTTCTTTCTTATATCAAGTTCTTATTTAAATAGTGTAGAAGAAAGTAAAATTTTGAATAGTTATAAATCTGACCACTCACCTATATATCTAAAGATTAAATTAAATGAGCTGACACATGGAAAGGGTTTGTGGAAATTTAATAACTCACTTCTTCAAGATATTAAGTATATTGAAACAGTCAACAAAGTTATTCAGGAAACAAAAGAAAATTATGCATTACCTATATATTCCAAAGAATATATCAAAGATATATCACCTGCAGAAATTCAGTTTACTATAGATGATCAGCTTTTTCTTGAAACACTCTTAATGGAAATTAGAGGTAAAACCATTTCATTTTCTAGTTATATAAAGAAAAAAAGCAATGAGAAAGAAAAACAGCTAATGTCTGAAATTGAAAATCTGGAAAAAGACTATAATAAAATTATCCAAACAATAAATGATAAGAAAAAGGAATTGGAAAATATAAGAGACCACATACTTATGGGAAATATTATAAGGTCTAGAGTAAAATGGATGAATGAAGGAGAAAAACCAACTAATTACTTTCTCAACCTTGAGAACAGACACTATACAAATAAAATAACCCCTAAATTGATTAAAGATGAATCAATAGATTCGGAAGTAACAAATCAGAAAGACATTCTTCTGGAAATTGAAAAATATTATAAAATACTCTATGAGGCTAATTCTGCGGTAACAGATGTTGATCTAAGTGATCATACTTGGGATATTTCTGCAGAAAAACTTAGTGATACACAAAAGAATAGTATTGAAGGGAAAATATCTTTGAAAGAAGCATTACTAGTTTTGAAAAATATGTCAAATGATAAAAGTCCTGGAAGCGATGGCTTTACAACAGAATTCTTCAAAGTGTTTTGGAAACAGCTAGGTAATTTCATAGTAAGATCAATAAATTATGGTTATAAAAAAGGAGAGCTTTCTGTAACACAAAAACAGGGAATTATCACTTGTATACCTAAAGAAGGAAAAAGTAAATTTTTTATAAAAAAATTGGCGCCCAATATCTTTACTAAATGTTGTCTATAAAATAGGTTCTGGCTGTATAGCAAGTCGAATGAAAAATATCTTGAACACAATCATAAGTTCAGACCAGACAGGTTTTGTACCCGGAAGATACATAGGTGAAAATACTAGATTAATTTATGATTTAATGCATTATACAGAAGAAAGAAATATCCCTGGATTGTTGTTAATGATTGATTTTGAAAAAGCTTTTGACACAGTGTCATGGAATTTTATT